TAAAGTTCAGCCAGCTAAGGGGGAGCCCAAGACTGACTCTAGGATTCCGTGGGATCATTCTAGCCGAGGTAATCAACGAGATACGATTATCCCTTCACCGTTATCAGCACGAATTGCTCAGAGAAGATGAGGGATACCGTGAACAGATACCGCGCAGACTTGGCAGGCTCATGCGTCGGGTGGCCGGGGCAAAAGGGGGCCGGCGCCGATGGCTGGCCACGGTCGCGGAGTCTGCCGCTATGTATGTGGCGCCCGCCCGGGTGCTTGCCACCACGAAGGGGAGGATGGCCTTGCGGATGGCTCAGAGATCGTTGGCGCTCCGGGTGAGCCGTGCGTATTGCACAATCTCCACGGACGCCGCTTTCGTGCTCGCAAGGATGGTCCCTCAGGACCTACTGTCCTGGGGGACTAAATGCTGCGGGGAGAAAGGCGGAAGCCGGGACACCGCGAGGGAGGCAACGTTCAGGGTTTGGCTGTGTGATAACTACTCCTACTATGGGGAATCGTTCGAAGGGAGGAATGTTCGACTTATTTCACCTCACTGATTTATTGGGCGAATACTCGATTGGACTGAGCGTCGCGCGTGCCGTCGGCTACGACACCCAACTCTCGACTGATGTCATCAGGGACCGCGGTGACGATCATGCAACGTGCACCTGACCACAGACGTCCCTGATAGATTTCGCCTATGACATTCGACCACAGCTACCATTTTTGATCTCCCGATCAACCTGGATTGCCTAACCCTAACCCCGCTGAGTAGCCTAACCGAATGCCTAATTCCTATGGAAACGCCTGTTATTACGTACCTAGTTGAGGACACTATCTAGCCGAGCTGAACACTCTGTTTATTCCCTGGTTCGCAGGGTTATCAAAAAAAAATAGATATATATATATATACACGGTGAGATTAGCCATGGCTCGATGCCTATTCCTCCCGGGGAATGTAGACCCCTCTGGGCCGTGGTGGGATTCCTTCCTCCCCTTCGTCTTCAGGTTCCGTTCCGAGAACCGGTCTCAGGTCCTCTATTTCGAAGTCCGACCTACGCGCCGGGCAGCTTCCTCGCCGACTTTCCTGGTACCAACGGTAACAGCACTCATAGCACATCAAATGACCACAAGGAGTGACCACCGCGTTGTTGGCCTCGTCGAGGCAAATCAAACATTGCCAGCGTTCCGGACCCGGCCTACGGTCGCCCACCGGTTCCACACCTTCGGCTGCCTGTTCCTGATCTTCCCAATTCTGCTCCTCGAACTCTACAGGCCACTCGGCCGCCTCCTCCTCTGGCACATCTTGATTTTCCAAGACCCGCTCCTCGACTCTTCCTGGCTGCTCCGAAGCCGCCTGCCTAAGGATCCGCACGGTCACGTTCGCCCTACCAGCCCGAAGAATGGCCTGCAGCACTTCAAGCGCCTGCTCCGATTGACGACTTTCCACCCTCTGCGGTCCTCGATACAAAGCACATCTTCTCACATAGTGCCCCACTCTTTGGCACGCGGTGCAAATTGCGTCTCTCGCTCTGCAATGGGGCGATCCCGTTGCGTGACGATTGTCCCCGCATCCATCACAGACCTGGTGTTGCATGTTGCCTCAAGAATTCTTCCGTGCCTGCTGAGTTGTACTTTCCTGACCTCTTGCTTGCTTGATTGACGACGACGGAATGATCGTTTAGTCTCTCGCAGACCCTAAGCTTCGTTCCCCACTCGAGCTGTGACTCGTCGATGCCAGCGCCTTTTTTCATTAAAATATGTATTCGACATTTCTTCCGGTCAACCTCTATCCGTCGTGCACATTCCGTACATCTCCGTTCCGTCTCCGACACATGCCTGCCACATTCTTACCATACATTTGACCCAATTCGCTCGGTCTCGCTACCTAAATGTTGACCTCGGTATTAACGAACCAGCGATAGCCACCTCTAGTTTATTGAACACACACACAGACCACCACAGCCGACCTATAGTCGCTGTGCGACCGACCTCTCTGACTACTCGCCACACTCTGTTACATCCTACACCTCTAACATCCGTCCGACACGTCGCACGTCCGTCTAGCACCTCAAACGTCCATCTAACACATCTAACGTCAAACGTCCGTCTACATCTCTATGTGACCACGACAGGGTGGTCTGACTCTTGGGTGGTTCCCTGGGAACAGGTCGGTGAGAGAAGGTCGAGAAGTTTACATGAGAGCTGGTCGAGCTGTCCCTGAAGGAACGGAAGCTTGGCTTGTGCGGAGGCGAGTTCCGTGGGTGTTGAAACGACGGCCGTTGAAATGGGCCTCGATTGTGATTATTTTCCCTGCTTCTGAAGCTTGTGTTCCGAGGAGATGAATTCCATGTCGATCCTTGACTCGATCTTAAGGTTTCCGTTGTCAGTGCTTCCGCCCTGAGAAAGGTCATCAACGCCTCGAGTTTGCATGTTTGTGTAGAAGTTTGTGTGAGCCTGAAAGAATCCATGAATTTTCTCTATGTGTCGTTTGTTAGCTTTGCGAGAATTCTGTTAGCGAAGGCTGGTGTTAGAGTTAAGTATGATTGTCCAAGAGTGATAAGTGCCAATATGTGTTGAGAGGTCGAGTGTACAAAATTGGGTAACTTATCGTAGGTGGTTTCTCCTTTCGACGACAGGATTCTTTCTAGTTCTCTCAAGTGGCTATCCTCTACCATGTTTGTTTGGCCGAAGAGCTCTTGGAGCATCTGCTTCATAGGTTCATAGCTTTCCGCATTGAGACTGAAGTGTTTCACACTATGGTATGCTCTTCCAGTCAGTGCGACGTGCAACAGGAGTATCTTCTGGAGAGTCGGGATCTGTCGCTCATGAACAAAGGCGTTAAACATGTCCATAAACTTTCTCTACTATTTCGGGTCTCCATTGAATTTTGGTATTTGAAATTTCTAGATAGTTTCGGGAGATAATTATCTGGGTCCTCAGCCTGGCTGCTTCCGGAGTGAGTTGCGATTGTTTCTGAGTTTCCGGAAGGCCGCTGAGCTTCTGGGGCACTGGGCGGTTGTTGAGCTCCTGATGTATTCGATGGTTGTTGAGCCTGTGGCAGACTGGGTGAGTCCTCCGTTGGGGGTGGCAGTTGTGCGATGTGTGAAACGAATGGCGTTGACATACTGGTGAATTCGCTGTTTTCCGCTGGAGCTCTGACTTGTTCTTCGATTGGTGTCGAAGCTCCCCATTGGGGAATCCCGAGAGGGGCCCCCGGTGCTTCCTTGATGGGGTCGCCACCTCGAGCACCGGGTCTATTTCTCGTCATGATGAATTCCTCGAAGTAACTTTGAGAGTTTGGCCTCTGAGGCTGTCTCACTTGGGTTCGAGACGCCGAGAGCCACTCTGTGAGCAGGCCATTGAGAATCTCTCTATAATCATCAAGCTGATTGAGGGAATCCCTTTTGTTGTTGTTTTCGTTGAAGAAAGTGCAGGCTTCTCTATTGAAGTACTTGACTCTTGATTTGAGGAACTCCAATTCATTCGGGTTCATCAGAGGTTGTACCTGGTTTTCGGCAGATGAGTATCCCGGGTTAGGAGGGTCACTTGGATTTTCTGCTCGGGCCGACGAAATTAACTGAGATGCCACCGCTCCGGCCATTGGTTCGGTTCTTGAGGGGAGGCTCCTCGAAGGTCCTGGACCGACCGGAGTATTCACCGTCATGGTTGGGGATCTGATGATTTGATGTTGTCGGGATGAACAGAATGGGACGCTGTGAGTCCTCAGACTCGGTAGCGTCGTGTCGGTGTGACTCATAGCGTGGGTACGCTTTCCTCGTGAGTTATACATTCGGGGTTCTCAATCCCGGTTCGGACGTAAGCTAAATGATAGTCCGCCAGTACGAAAGCGGGACTTAAGAGCGAGAGTCACCCATTGGGTGGCTCCCAAGATATTGTACGAAGACTCATCCAGCCTATGTATGTAGGTAAGCATGGTAAGGAAGGTGGAGCTCGCCCCACCCTAACTCCTATATAAAGAGGATACAATCCGAATAAACTCTACTGTGGTGTCTCCCCTTTTGTGAGACTGTACTCCTGTTAGTTCACTTCGCTCACTGATCTAGTGTGTTTCCTCACTATCCGACCTTTCCTTCAACCAGCTTCTGCCAAGCTGTTTCAACAGATGTGTATCACCTCTGTTTATGATCTCCGGTTGCTGGTGGCGATCTCGTTCGAGTTGAGGCGCTGAGGACCGGCGTCCGCGAAATGTGAAGTCCGCTATTGGCTGATCCTCTTCGAAGAAGCTGTCGGAGTTTTCCTGGAGTCTCATCGCTCGGAACGATTCTGGCAGAATCTCCGGAAGCGGCAGTACGTTTGCGCTAGCACTCCGCTGGGTTGGGCTCTGAGCTCGCCGACTGTTGCTCGGATTGTTCCCGGCGGCATTAGCCCCAATCCCGTTGTTCGATGGGTCACTTATGATCGGGGCCGGCGACTGCTTGAACGTTGCCCGTTAGGCCTAACCACCTGTCACGCCGGAACTTTGATTGAATCAAGACTTCGAGGGCCAATTTGCGCTATGAAAGTCGCCGCCGAAAACGGATTGAGCACTAAGCTGAGGAGATTTCCGATGATCGAGTTTGAATTTCTGAATTTCGATTTTCGGAGCTTCGCTGCACGAGTCGCTGTCAAGATGCTTCGAAATCGAAGGCTGGCGTATTTGAAGGGACGATGGATTCTTGAATAACTTCTGACACCAGTTTGTGGCGGACACACCTCACTAATTGAGGTTCTGAGCCTCGATGGAAATGAGGACACAAGATTTGAACTTGTCGGATCCACGTGGGGTGCGCTGCGCAAAACGAAATATCTCCCGGAGAGATCCCGAAATGATGGAAACTCCCCTGGAGATGATGGGATGATAACGTCGGAGGGATTGAACCTCCGGTCGCGACTTGATCACTTGAGAACACTCGGGATTTGAACCCAAAACTGGGATTTTCGAGGAGCGCTGAGGCTGCCTCGTCACCTTGATCGTGATAACTAGAGCCCGTGACTTCGTGCCCTATAAAACCTGGATATATGCATGCAAATATGCCCTGAAAAAGGGTCGATATATGTTGAGACTAACTTTAGAATAGCTACACTCATTCTTCTAAGCTAAGCTTTCTGTCATATCTATTTCGGTAAACCCCGACTCCGTACTGTGCCACGTGCCAGAGGCTCCAGCTCTGACACATGTCAGAGGCTCCACTCATCAGGCCTCTCTTCTGATCCCGTATTTAGTAACCATCTGGAAATCTTACTCGATGCCTTACGAACTGTGCCTCTCGGAGAGGGTCAACCTACTGATATATAAGACGACACTTTCACCAATAAAATCACTGTGGTGTGCTCCCATCTCAACCTCCGGTTGTCCTCTCTGAGCTCGTACGTGTCCCGCTGATCTACCGAACCTAACCTTCGACCAATCTAGGAACAACACGTTATCAGCCCTTTCGCTCGATACGTACGTCGGCAACTGCCGCTCTCAACTCAGAAAGTAAGTTACCTTCAAACTGAAGTAACTAGCTGCTGCACAGGTTCACTCGACATAGCTGTTTCCTCCTTTGCTCCGAAGACGCTGGACGAAATCGAGAGTGACGGTTTCTTACTAGTCCCGTCTGATTCTTCGAAAATCATGGCCGATTCGAAGAAAGATTCCGCAAGCACGTCTGGTCCAAACCGAACATACGCAAATCTCAATAACGTAGTTCTAGCACAGGATGGTCACAATTTCTTAGCATGGAAAACAGTGATTCCCGTGATACTGATGACAGAACCTCGAGCGTGGGAAACGAC